AAATTTATTTACACAAAGGCTGGGATATAGGCCAGAGGTAGGGGGCAGTGAGAGGATTCACCCGAGACAGAGTGAGGAGCAGAACAGGCAGATGGACCGAAATACACTGCTGAGGGGAGCAGCAGGAGACACAGGAGAGGTCTGCCGCGCCCTGGGTCACCTCCCTGGCCGGGGATCGAACTCGGGCGGCAGGGGCTGCCTACAGTGCTGAGTCTAACTTCTCCCCCCCAACGCCTTTACAGACATTATCTAAAATATAACCCTTATGCCTGCTCTGAGAAGAAATCCTGTGACCAACCCCATTTTACAGTCGGCGAAACAGAAAGCACACGCAATCCAGTCAAGGTCACCCAGGAGCGTGGGCACGATGTGAACCCGAGCAAAGCGACATGTAGCTCCGGCACGTCCGGCCCAAGGTCGTGGAGTGGGGCTGCCGGACAGGGGAGGGCGCTGACCTGTCGGAGACTTGCTCCTGGGTGAGCTTCTTGTCGCTCTGCAGCAGGATGGACACGTAGTGACGGATCATGCCCACGAAGAAGGTGATGATAACGATGGGCAGGACCACCCAGAGGCGGATGTTGGAGTCGAGCAGCAGCTCCGGCCCCGCCATCTTCCCACAGCGCCGGCTCCTGGCCGGGTGTAGCCGGGTTTCTGTTCCCTGGGGTGCGGGGGCTCGGCTTCGAGTTGGCCTCTGGGCCTGCTGGCGCCCCTCAGCCTGGCCAACCCGGCGACACCGGCTCCTCGGGTTCCGGTACACCGCTCCCAGCCCGGCCGCAGGCCGTCCACTTCCGGCGCGGAAGCTTGACGTCACGGAGGGCGCGCGGGGCGGCGTCAGGCGGCGTCGCGCGGGGCGGGAAAGCGGGACGCGAGGGGCGGTGACTTCTCGGCGCGGGCAGCGCAGCCAGCGTCCTCCTTGGGGGTCTCGCCGAGCCCGGCGTTCGCCTCTGCGCCCCGAACTTCGGCCTCGTCTCCCGCCCTGTGTGGGGCGAGCCCCCTCAGGTACTTGCGTTCTCAGGGTACCCCGGCCTGTCAGGCTTCCCCCCACATCCTCCCCCGGTGACCGGTCCTGAAAGCCCGCGCCAGCTCCCCAGTGTTGAGGTTCTCTGCTAGCGAAGGGTTGAGGGCGCGCACCCCCAAGTCAGAGGTGCCGCGCCGGGGCCTAGCGTCTCCGTCTGCAGGGCGGCGGCTCCTGGTGCTAAGTGTTGAGCGAGCGGCGCGTTTCTCAGCCACGGCGGGGTCTCGCGGGGGTGAGGCGGGGGACGTGCTGGGCATGTTCATTCCTGGCGTTTTCTCTTAGCCCCGAGGCAGCGGGTGCAGAAGGGCTGAGCGCGGCACCTGGCACAGAGCCGCTCGTGGAAACCGTGGTCCTGACCCAGAGTAGGTCCGGGTGGGCGACCGAGAGCCGATGCTGGCGCCCCACTGCCCAGCTCTGCCCCGAATGTGAGACTAATGCTGCTCCCCGCCTGCAGACGCGTTGTGAGGGATAAATGGCATGGAGCGAGCCCCCACTGTCGTTTTTAAGTAGTGCTTGCCTGCCTCGCACCCATTGGGAGGGAATCGTCGCAGCCCCCCACACCCACACCCCGCCCCGTGCCAGGACCCTGGCGGGCGGAGGGGCCATGGGGGGAGGCCGAGTCGCAACTCCCGAGGGCCTTGCAGGAGCATTTTTCAGGGGAGATAACCGTGGGCGGGGCCCTTTAAGGATGCTCAGTAGTTTCTAGCAGAGATTATGGTGGGTGAAAAGCCACCGGAAGCCAAGGCTGGGAGACCTGGAATGTTCTGGTTTACAAAACAATAGGAGGCACCTGTGGTGCGGCCCCAGCCTACCTCACAGGCTCCTTAGTAATTCTGAGTGGCTTCCAGTTTCAGCGTCTGCCTAGCGGGCACCTCCCCTCCTTCTACTGGCTCCCGTTTCAACCCTCAGGTCCCTGCTTAAAAGCCACTTCCTCTGGGAGCCCATCCCTGAAAAATTGTCCTGGGTTTCAACATCACTTCATTCCCAGTTACACTAAATTTCTTTGCCAACCCTCAGAGCACCCGGTGTTTTTGGTTAGCACCTGTGGAGAACTGCATAGATGACCACCTGGGCAGGGATCATGCCTGTCTTGTTCATATTTATAATCCTAGCGCTAGCACAGTCCCCAACACATGGGATTGCATAACGGAGTTAAATGAGAGCTGGAAAGGGGTTCTCCCTAGTGGCTGGGGGGAGTCTCAGCACTGTCAAGTGATCACCAGCCCTTGCTGCATTCCCTCCCTGGCCAGGATCCTGTCTCACCCACTCTCCCCTCAGCTGTGTATTTCAGTAGATCTGCTTATCCTGCTCCCCACTCTGTCTCTGGTGAATCCTCACCCCCCCCATTCTTGTTTGCATAAATAAATAAACAACAAAATTTTTTTTAACATAAATTGGGGCCCTCCCTGGTGGTACAGCAGGTTAAAGCACAGCGCTATGAAGCTAGCTACAGCCACCTACACACCAATTTGATCCCTGGCCAGGGAGGTGACCCATATGGTGTGGCAGACCTTTCCTGTCAGTGCTGCTCCCCTCAGCAGTGTATTTCAGTCAAGTCTTCCTGTACTGTTCCCCATTCTGTCTCTGGTAAAATCTCTCTCTCTCTCTCACACACACACGCCACACCTCTGGCCTGTAACCCAGTTCTGTATGTATAAATAAATAAATCTCAAAAAAAAATTAAGAAAAGACAAAGTATAGTCTCTAAATCAGACACCCACAAGTGACCCATTGATCCCCTCGTGGGCAAAAGTCCACCCAAAAGGGACTGGCGTAGAACAAGGCCTGCAAAGCTGCCACAGCCGAAAGCACCTTCCAGCAGGGACCCACAGAAAAGGGTCAGAAATGGCCAGACAAGTCTGGGCCAAAATCAAGATAAATGCTTCCACAGTCACCTCCCCACAGGTCTCTCACCCACGTCTGTTTCACCTATCCAGGACCAAGAAGAAGCAAACGCAGCTTCTTCACTGTCTCTCTGCTCCATGTGGCTTCTCAGGCCTCCTTCCGACCTCCATCCTGTATCCTTCCTTTTCAGTCTCCTCTCTATATTCTTCTCCTCCCTGCTCAGCTCCACCCTCTGGGTGGTGCAGGGAACCTGGAACTGCCCCTTTTCTTGGGGACCACCCTGTTACAAGGGGAGCAGTGGGGAGACAGGAGAGGTCTGCTGCACCATGGGGGCCAGCTCCCTGGCTGGGGATCAAAATCATGCGCAGTGGTTGCGGACAGCTTCATAGTGCTGAAGTCAACCCCTTGTGCCACTAGGTAGGCCCTGTAAGCAGCATTTTAAAAAAAGATTTATTTGTTTATGCATATAGAACTGGGGTACAGGCAGGAGGTGCAGGAGCGGTGAGAGGATTCACCAGAGACAGAGTGGGGAGCAGAACAGGCTGACTGATGAAGTCCACTGCTGAGGGAGCAGCGGGAGACAGGAGGGGTCTGCGGCGGGAGACAGGAGGGGTCTGCGGGAGACAGGAGGGGTCTGCGGCAGACAGGAGGGGTCTGCGGCAGACAGGAGGGGTCTGCGGCGTGGATCACCTCCAGGGTGGGGGGGGTGGGGATCGAACTCATGCTGAGATGGCTTTAGCTTCTTAGTACTGCTCCATCAGGGAGGGCCCCTAAGCAGCTTTTATAGGCACTGGGAGACCAAAAAGAATATGTCTTGCTTTACTGGGACGTTTGCTTTACTGCAGTGGCGCAAAGCCAAACCTGTGGATCTCTCCGATTTGCCTATGCCGGCCAGATCAGGTGTTGACAATTCTCAGAAGCTGGATTTGGATAGCATTAGTGTAATGACTGGAACTGCTTTGGTTCTGGATTGAGTAGTTTACTTTGACTTAATATCTTTACTTTCTCTGAATTTATATAGTGTCTGCAAAGCAACTAAAATTCTTCAATTTTGCTCTAGAAAGTGATTTAACTACAGAAGACTGGTCAAAATGATGTCCAAAAGGCAGCTCTCAAAATCTGAGGATACGGGGAGCCTCACAGAAGATGCTTCCGGTGAGTGCCACTCATTTGTTGCTTTGTTTCCTGTGGCAAATGTGTGAATTGCTTTAAGGGACATAAAGTCCCTGCTTTCACATGGTGGGTGTCATCACAGAGTCTAGTGTCGGGAGATTTGAGTCTCGGCCTCTAAGTCGTGTATAACTTTGGGCATGCCCTCAGTTTCCTTCCCCATGTCCACATCAGAAGAGGAATTACTATTAGACCTGTGTGCATCACTTAAGTGCTGGGGTACAAAAATCTGATACACTTTAAAACAACTGGTGATTCCCTTCCTCTACTAAAAAAAAGTCCGGCCTTGATAAAGTCTGTGATACTGACGTGCAGCGGAAAGGCATTCGGAGCACGCACGGGCAAAGATGCAGTGGGCAGGTGAGAAAGCACTCCTCGTGCGCTGCACCCGTCTGCTCCGGGGGCGTCGACTCGTAGGTGCAGCGTCATTTGTTTTAGGACTCTATAATTTGGGTCTGACCCTTGGTCAGATACCACTGACACTGATGGACACGCTTCTTGACTGTGCTTGAACAACATTCAGAATGATTAAAATTTCCACCCAAAGCCATGTTGGCAGTAAGCTTACTTTAGAAAAAGAAATTCCAAAACCTTTAACACTGTTACTAGAGGGGTTGTAGAATATAGAGAAATGGGGAGATTTGGAAACTCAAGAGGAGTAACTTAAGTCACCCAAAGTGAAGGCGTGCTTTGGAAATACCGTTCTCCAGAAAGGAAGAGACTTCTGAGTTAGATTTATTGAAAGGATTCTTGGTGAGTGAGGAACAAATTGAATTTTTCATCCCAGTTGTGCCTTAAACTTCTTTACGGAAAACGGTGTTTTTTGCTCCATTTTGTTTATGTCTTCCATAGGGAGAAACGGAAGGGCTGGGGGAAGGGGAAGCGAGAGTTGCACCGTTGAGTGAGAATAGTAGGAAGCCTTAGCTTTAGCTACCTCTCTGTTTGCAGGCCGGTTGCGTCTCATGGGTGGACTGTCTTGAGGTGAAGCTAGTCTGGGCCTCGTACTCAAGGCTGCGCTGGTTCTGTCTGCTCCTGCCTCTCCAGATCAGTGCTTCTCGGATGCTGGTGTTCCTCGGAATTGTTAACGGGAGAGCACGCTAAAAGCTCAGACCCGGCCCCACGCTGAGGTTCTGGCCAGTGGGTCTGGGAGGCCCGAGGCCACGCATGCGCAAGTCGCCCAGGGTTGCAGCGCAGAGGGCGGCAGAAGCAGCCGAGACGCCGGCTGCTTTGGGACTTGGGCGCAAAACGTTTCCATGGTTATTCTTGTTAGAATTGGTATGTTTTGAAGTTCTCGAATGAAAATCCAGAAGCAATTCTGTTCATCATTAGATTTGTTTCTAAGCCACTGTTGACCCTGGCTAGGTAACTTCCACTACAGCATCCATCCGTTCTAGTGTATTTCTTCAGGAACTCATGAACTTCCCTTCTGAGAGGTATTAGTCAAGGATTTACATTTTAATCTTTGCTTGGTCACATTCTTAAAAATTTTGTTTTCAGAAGCCAGAAAACAAAGGACAAGTAAACCTCTTGCTCATAGTGAAGTTGAAGAAAACGACAGTGTCTTTATAAAGCTTCTTAAGACATCAGGTGTTACTCTTAAAACGGGAGAGAGTCAAAATCAACTGGGTAATATTTTCATCTAAGTCTTGGGTATAGTGAAAGGACTGGGTGGTGGTTGGTATTTTCTAAATGAAAGGTCAGTAAAATTAGAAACAGAAGGACCAGCTGTCCTGAGACAAGGGTGAATTTGAAATTGCTTTTTAGAGTATTGTTGTAGATTTTGGTCCTGATTCATGCATGTTAACTAAAGTACTTCTAATCCATTTTTTAAAAATATGAATACAAGTGATTGTTAATTCAAGGGCTCTTGTGAAAAAGTAAATTAATACCCAAAAGAATAATTAAATCTGGGGCAGAATAATTTCAGGTGCAGAAGATTTGGCTCTGTGCTTAGGTTGAAAATACCTTTACTGGTGTCAGCAGTTAGGAGGCTTGGGCTTTACAGACAGGGACGATGGGGATGGCGTTGAAGGCTCTAGAGACCAACTCTTCTTTGTTTCTCATAGCTGTGGATCAAGTCATTTTCCAAAAGAAGCTTTTTCAGAACCTGAGGAAACACCCATCTTATCCCAAAGTATGTACCTGCTCCCTGGTGGGTTTTCATTTACCAGCAGGGCTCCGTGACTTGGAACTTAAACACAGTGGCATAGAGTTGCATGAGCTGCAGTGATTCTTCGGTAATTTACCACAGATGTTAAACTAAAAATCGTACTCTCTTTATTTTTTTAATGTCATTAAGGTCATAGAAGAATTTGCTAGTGGCCTGGAGGCTTACATTGAGGACCGAGACTGTTTCAGGAACTGCCTTTTGTCCTGTGAACGCCTGCAGGACGAGGAAGCCAGGTACATGAGCGGCGTGGGACCTGTCATACTCACTGGGCGCAGGGACGAGGAAGAGTGCAGTTTTTTTTGTTTTTTTTTTTTTAATTTCACCTTTGAGTTACTAAGTTTGTGGGTATGAGGCTAAGGAAGTGTTCTCTAGGCTGTTTCACCTGCGTTGATCGAATTTCTATTCTCCCATGCTGAATAGCATCTCTCGTTGTTCAGTATTATCTAATAGGATGGTTTTTCTTTAAAGATTATATGTCTACCCAGTTTTATCAGAAGAGATACTAACAGTAAAACAAGCAAATCACATTTTTTTTTTTGTATTTTTTTTTTTTTTTAAAGATTTATTTATTTGTGCATACAGAACTGGGGTACAGGCCAGAGGCTCAGGGGCGGCGAGAGGCTTCACCAGAGACAGAGTGGGGAGCAGAACAGGCAGATCTATGAAGTACACTGCTGAGGGGAGCAGTGGGCAGGCCAGGAGAGGTCTGGCTCGCCATGTGGTCTCCTCCGGGGCAGGCGGCAGGCGGGAATCGAACTCATGTGGAAGTGGCTTCAGATTCTCAGTGCTGTGCTTTAACCCGCTGCGCCACCAGGGAGGGCCAAATCACATTTTTTTTTACAGTGCAAACACATCTTACTCTAAGAGCCTCATTAAGCTGCTGCTGGGGGTTGACATTCTGCAGGTGAGACTTCGCTGCTCTTTCGGTGACTGTGGGGTGGTTTGTGAGGTTCGCTCACAGTGGCTGGACCGCAGGCTTGGTGGGGTGAACGTCAGGCTTTGTGCTTGCGGCAGTTTGCCTGGCCACTGCTGGGCTGCTGTGGAAGGGCAGCAGCTGTACCTTTGCGCGGAGCTGACTGGCCCAGACGCTGCACTTCCGTCCGTTTCCTGAGTCTCCAGACGCTGCTTCATCCAGCCTTGCCCTGTGCGCTCTGATGCCTCGCCTGCGGCTGCCACAGACGCCTTGTCCTCATCTCCCAGTTAGCTTTTATTTGCTCATTTACTTAGTTTTCCTCTGCTTCTCTTTTCTCACTTTATATTTCTTAAATAGATAACATTGTTTTGAACATCTCCGGTTATGAGCATGTCTATAACAGTGAAAAGCCCCTGCCTTTCCGCTCTCCCTTCTCTCCTGACTCCCAGGATCTCCTGGTAATCTTTCCTTGCTCCTGTCTCCCTCCCTCCCTCCCTCCCTCCCTCCCTCCCTCCCTCCTTCCTTCCATCCTTCCTTCCAGTCTTCCATCCTTCCTTCCATCCATAGAAGAACTGGAGTGTAGCCCGAGATGCGTGAGATGAGGATGCACCAGAGGCAGTGAGGAGCAGAACAGGTGGATCCCCTAAAATACACTGCTGAGGGGAGCAGCTAGAGACACAGGAGAGATGATCTGATGCACCTTGTGGGTCCTGCCCTGGTCAGGGATCGGACTCTGGCCTTAGTGGTGATAGCGTTGAGGTGTAGCCCCTAGGCCATCAGGGAGGCCCCCATTTTGCAATTTTTCAGAAGACATATATTGATGAGTCTTTCTATTCCAAAAGCTTTTTTTTTTTTTTTTTTAATATTTATTTATGCATACAAGAACTGGGACAAAACTGCTGAGGGGAGCAGTAGGCAAGACAGGAGAGGTCGCTGCGCCATGCGGGTCAGCTCCCTGGCCGGGGGTCAAAGTCATGCTGCAGTGGCTGCCGACAGCTCCTTACTGCTGTGCTTTAACCCCTTGTGCCACGGGAGGGCCCTGCATGCCAAAGACTTAAATTCAAAATATAGGCAACATTAATGATGACACCCTGAGAGCTCTTGTTGCAAGTTATAGCTCAGTATATACTTGTGTTGAATATTTTGACACCATTTCCTAACACCCTGTTTCTTCTTTTTGTTAGCCTGTCATTATCAAAATCTTGTTTGAAAAGTTGCCAGAATTCTTTTTTGAAAAGTAAGTGGCATTCTCCTGGAATTTTCTAAGTTCCCCATCTGTGTATGTGTGTCTCTGATGAGATTACATTATCAACTTCTCTGAAAGCCATTTATATTGCTGTGTCACATGCTTCAGTGGCTGCTGAAATCTTACCGGACTGTCTTTCGGTCAGATTCCTTTATTACTGTGACTGCGTGTTGCTAAAAGGATGCACAGTATGTTGCAGGTTTAGGGGTTCTGGGAGACTGCACCCCCACGCCTGTTTTACTTTCACCTTGAAGTACGTGCCTTTTCAGGAGCTTGCTAGTAATAATAGCAATTACTGTTATTGTAACTTTTATATTTTACCTCAGATGGTTTCTGACCTGGCTAAGTCTTTTCTCCACAGTGATACTTGGTTGTAGTAGACAGAGACCAAGAATGCCCTCAAGCAGTGGAACTAGAGAATGCCCAGAACTTAGTACCTAAGAGATTGCGAGTAAGGCAAAAACTCATTTTGGGGGACACTGTAATAACCGAGACAGTATTTCTTCATAAATGTTTTTCAGCATTTTCACAAACACTCTAATTTCACCTATTTCCATAGTAACCTGTGTTTTTTCCGTGAGCAATTGTCACATTGGTGTACCATTGTAAAGTATTTACCTTAAATCACTTTATTGCCTTTATTTTTAAAAAAGTTGTTTACATGACTGAGGGATCCTCTCTGGACCTCCCCTCAAAGTGCTCCCCCTTGTAGTTACTGTGACAGACTGCTTTCTAACACATGTAAGCAGAGTCGCGTGCTGATTTGCCCACCTGTCTGGCACAGCTTGTCGCACGCAGTAAGTGTCAGGTAGATGGTCATTGAATGACTGAAGTGTTCTGTGCAGGTGAGTGTGTGATACTATATAAGATAACATGGCTCTCAGCTTCTGTCTCCTTGTCCTGACTTTTCAGTGTGAACAGTGATGGAATCCACATGCCTCGGCTCATCATCAGTCAGCTGAAGTGGCTTGACAGGGTCGTGGATGGCAAGGTAGCCATGGGGACTTCCTGTCTCTTCTGCTTAAAACCACTCTTTTGGGATTTGCTGGGTTCTTTTCCTTTGTAAACAGAACATTAACTTTTTTTTTTTTTTT